GGACTTGATGCTGAAAGACTTTCCAAGTGGCTTTGAAAGGGACAGTGAGGAAGTGCTTTTGCACAGGGGTCCTCACACAGTTGACGAGATTACAGGGGACTTGCGATGGATGGAGTGCAAGATTGATGACTGGAATGTAGAAGTGGATCTAGCCAAATATTTTTCTGATGCATCTGCAGTTCCAATGGGTTGCGTGGCTGAGATTTTGTTTGTGTTCTTTTGATGTTCTTTTGTTGTTTCTTAGGATTAGGTTTGTGGATTTAGAGGTTCTGAAAAGAAACCAGGGTCTGCTTCTATGTGTGTGCAGGTTACAGAGTCAAGTCTGCGATCTTCCACATTCATGATGAAGACAGCCCTGTGACCATGACGTGTTGACATTATGTCACAGTGTTTTGGCAAAACAGCAACTGGCATCTGGCCAACGATGACTTTGTGCGTTATGTCACCATGGAGGATTGTTCGCTGTTTCCATGCGTGGTGCTCTTAGCAAAAAATCCGATGGAGATGACTACAAAAGATGCTCCCTTGTTTGCACAAGGCATTGCTTGTCAGCCTCTGCAGACATGGAAGACGTTCCTGCGAAGGAGAAAACAGAAGATCTGCCAGTGCGGAGGAAAGGAAGGCCTCAGAAATAATTCCCGCGAACCCATTACTTCGATATTTCAAGCCTTCTGTGTCCTCGACTGGTATGTTGAGTTCACAGCAAAATGCATCAAACAAAGAAAAAGAGCAATCAGACAGAGACCAAGATGGATCAAAAAGAGACCAAGATCGATCAAAAAGAGACCAAGATGGATCAAATAGAGACCAAGATGGATCAAAAAGAGACGAAGATCGGTCAAAAAGAGACCAAGATCGATCAACAAGAGACGAAGATCGATCAAAAAGAGACGAAGATCGATCAAAAAGAGACGAAGATCGATCAAAAAGAGACCAAGATCAATCAACAAGAGACCAAGATCGATCAAAAAGAAACCGAGATGAATCACAAAGAGACCAAGATCGATCAAAAAGAGACCGAGATGAATCACAAAAGAGACCAAGATCGATCAAAAAGAGACCGAGATGAATCACAAAGAGACCAAGATCGATCAAAAAGAGACCGAGGTGAATCACAAAGAGACCAAGATCGATCAAAAAGAGATCAAGATCGATCAAAAAGACATCAAGATCGATCTTTTTTTTTTGGCCCGAGCCCGATGCCTTTCGGCGGGTCTACGGTACTGGAGACTTACTCGTCTACCACGTCACGATCGCGGCCCCGTATCCGGGGTGAATCGATCCGCGGCTAGCTGTCTATGCACGGTCCTGAGACGGGCATTATACCACTACGCGACGAGATCGCCTAAAAAGACACCGAGATCGATCAAATAGAGACCGAGATGGATCAAGCAAAGAGCAAGATCTTTTTTTCCGTCCAACGCCTTCATGGCTTTCGCCAGGTCGTTACACACGTTCAACCGCAGCAAAAAGATGAATTGTGAATTATGCAAGGCCGTCTACACGTCGATAGCCTCAAAAACACTGGCAGTGGACCTATACACAGTCCAGTGAGCGGTCCCATCAAACCAAACCACAAAAAAGGCAAACAAACAGACAAAACACACAGAACCACAACAAGCAGAGAGCAAGATCGATCAAAAAGAGACCAAGATCGATCAAGCAGAGACCAAGATCGATCAAAGAGACCAAGAACGATCAAAAAATCAAGAACGTACTGCCAAGAATGCTCGTGAAAGGACAGAGAAGCCACACGTGATTTTTTTTTGCTTGGAACAAACGCTATTGGTGGAAATTGTGGCCGATCTCGCTTTCTAAGGCTCGGTCCTGACAGTGAGAGAAGCGGTAAAAACTGTACAACACAAATGAAACACTTTGGCTTCAACCGAGGCGAATCATGGTCAAGCTAAACGAAGAAACAAAAACACAGCAACAAAGACGACCCGCAAATCTGCAACGCCAACTTGGTGGAACCGTGTCTGGACATGGGGGGACTTCCAATGTAGAGAAAGGAGAGGGAGACTCAGCTCCGCACACCTAGAAATGTCAAAGTACATCCAGCCATGATGCTTTTTTCCGTCCAACGCCACAGGGCTCTGTACACAAACCTTGGCGATCACTGTGAGTCTGTATTGGAATTGTTGTAGTAGCTCTCTGAGCGGAATGGTCATGCGGGTGTTGATTGTGAACTGTTGGAGATCGTCATTTTCAAGTGCATCAGAGTTCACATGTTTTCGATATGATTTTGCCATTGCATTAATTCACGAATTTGCAAGCATGCTGGCTTTCCGGCTTGCCTACGACCTGGCAAGAAAATCTGCCGTGTGGTGCACAGCTGGTGGCACTGCGCGCTCACTCTGTGATTTTGGCGCGAGGTAGAGCGCAAATACTGTGAGCTGAATTGGACAGTTGGATTGCACGAGAAATTTCAGTGCAGTCGATTGACATTTTGACCTGCATCACCCGAGGCCTTGAATAACTCTGGACTAGGACCTTTTCCTTCCGATCTGAAAGCGCGTACAAGCAATTTTCTACCTGCTGGAAGAAATCACTTGCGGACGGCTGTTACCGGTGGATGGCACTGTCAGAGTGGTGGGTTGCCCTGCCTTTTGGGGCGTGGAAGCGTGGCAGGTTTCCTAAGTCTAGCGATTGGTTTGTGGGTTTGGGTGTCTCTGCCGCTGCGGGGATCCCTGTGAAAACACGAGAGCGGCGTGGCAGCTCTTTTTCACAGCTCGGACTTGAGCCAAACCGCACAGGTTTGACAGCTCAGTCACTCTTCTTCTTAGAAGAGTCGTGCAGAGTAAAACGCTGTGACACTCAAACGTTCTCAAACTTCTCAAACTACTTCAAAAGAGTTCTCAAGCTTCAAAAACGTTCTTCCAGCTTCTCCAAATAAAACGTCTTCAGCTCAAACTCACAAATAACCTACAAAACTCCTACCAAATAAGTTCACAACATCAAGTTCCTAAGACATGGGTCAAACAACATCCAAAAACACCAAAAACCACAAAAACAAACGAAAATCCATCTCCAAGCTCTTCCATGCACAAACTGGTTCCATTTGGTTCCAAATTGGTTCCTACCTGGTTCCTATAGGTTCCTATGGGTTCTATAGTTCACAGATCGGTTCCTACAAACTTAAAATGGTTACCTAACTGTTCACATGCACATGCATTGTTCCAAGATAGGTTTAAAGATGTTCAAGTAGGTTCAAGGTGGTTCAGTACACTGTACATCCTCTCACCAAACTTTCACACCCCTTCTTGGACAGTAGTGCTGTACACCGAAGTACCTATAGACTACCATACCGTTTGTAAGGCAACTAAGTTCTGAACCCACACAACTAAGTTCCAGACATCACCAACTAAGATCCATGCTCATCAACTAAGCTAGGAACTAGCGCACAGAAAACTCGAAGGGTTCCTGTGTTTTAATGGTGCCCTCAGATAGATGGATGTTTTATGAGAAACGTGTCTCTTTGGCTCCATCTTGTGATCATCATAGGGCAGTGGCAGCGGTGCAAAAGAGACCAACCAACCATACCCCATAACCATCTTTCTGAGTAACCCACAACTTTGAAACTGAGTTCACAACTTCTGCACAAAGTTTTGTTTGAAAACGTTTGTCATTTGGAAACCTTGATATTTGAAACTGTCTCACGTTTGTCATCATCATCTCATCTAAGTAAGGGGAAACTGGTGCCAAGGTCTGTCCTCTGGGTATGGCCTTGGTGTTCAGTTCTTTTTGGGTATTGGGATAGACCCTCAAAGGATACCAGGGTATCCATGCCGCTGGCATGTGACCTTGGGAATCCTAAGCCCTCAAGTTAGGATCATCAACACAAAACCCAAACAAACTGAAACATGTTTTTCAAACCCGTTTTTCCAAATGCTTGGCAACGGTTTCACGTCTCTTGGAACCTTGGCTTCTAAACCCTGTAACTTGGCAGTTGCAGACCTCTACAACTTCCTTGGTTATCAGCCCAACTCTGTATGGCACAATCTTGGTAGCTGAGCTGAATGCATTGAGCGCTGAACAGTGGCAGCAGTGCTAAGCATTCCACAGGGTATCCAAGAGTCCTAAAACTCTGGATGAGCTTTGCTAAGCGCTGGACATCCAGTTATGGATACCTTCCAAGTCCAACATGTTGTGCACTGGGGTTCAAACCCTTCAGAAGATAAGCCCAAACCAGCAGTGACCAACGATCCATAGAGAAAGTCCACAACAGGAGAACCACTGCAACGCACAAGGACAGGACATTCAGGAAGAGTCCAAAACAGTTCAAGTTCAAGACAACTTCAACCAAGTTCCAAGAACATACAACAAACATGTTATGTTATGATCCTCAGCTGCAGGGGTATTTCATATGGCATTGCCATCTTTCTCATGACCCCTTGGCAGCTACATCATTGGATCATACAAGTACCTTAGTACAGAACAAAGAACAACAACAAACGACAGAGAAGTTGCAAAAACCGTCCAATGAGTCCACAAGTGTCCAACTAGTTACAACTGACATCAAAACAGATAACAGCAGTTAAACCTGATGACATCAAACTGCAACACAGTGACATGAACATCCATGCAAACTGCAAAACTGGACATCTGCAAAACCCTATTCCTACTCCTAACGGCTCCAGCTTACTAGACGGCTCCAGCTCTGTACAAGGATTGCTGTCAAGAAAACGAAATGAAAACTGCAAACCAAAGTACATGAAAGTGCAACTGCAAACATCGACAGTGAATCCACTCCCATGCAACTGATGGCACAGCAGATCCCATCTCTCCTTTTTCAAAGCTCATCGAACACTGATGCTGCTTGGAATGAACCTCGAGCTCATAGAGCTATTCTTTCACAAGCTGCCAGGCAAGTGCTGAGCTTTACTTTGAAATCCAAAATCTCAAAATGATCTATGTGACCATGCTACAGGGAAGGACTCTCAGGCTCATCGCTCCTTCCAAAACCAGCTTCATTTCACATAGATCTCGGCAGTCTCGGGCTAATTGAGTGGGACCGCCGTTGGAATGAATTCATCAGAAATCACTCGATATACCAACTGGCCTAACTGGAGGGTTCCCATGCCGTACTCCTCCGCCCACCCCGCCGGGATTGCCTCCCGACGAGCGGGGTTGGGCGAAACGGCCCGTACTATTTCCGTCCCGTCCTGGGTGCGCAGGCGAATGCGCCCTGCGCGCTGCACAAAGGGCGCTGCTGGCACTGCAGGTGCTGCATGCGGTGGTGCATAACCACCAGATGCAGGTGCAACAGGTGGAAAGCTCGGCCCTGTCTTGGCTGCAATTCCTGGAGTTGTCGGGGTCCCCATTGGTGGCGGTGCCAGGGGAGGATTCATCGTGCCAGCAACTCCATGGGTAGCAGTGCCCACTGCTGGATGGGTTCCAGTTGCAGTAGGTCCCACAGGAACCCCAGGAGCTGCAACACTCGGCCCCACAGGAACTCCAGTTGATGCCACACCCGGTCCCACAGGAGCTCCAGTTGGTGCAATCGGAGCAGCAGTCACAACATTCAACTGCGTCAACGCAGTCACCATCCTGTCTACTGCCGATTCGATGCCTTTCAGATACTGCAGTGATTGTTCATGCTGCGAGCGTCTTTCTTGCTTGATTTCGTCCAACCTCCTGTTCCCTGTATTGATCTTGTCGTTCAAATCACGACAAAGCTCTTTCAGCGTTGGATTGACTTGGGATTTGCTCCCAGTCACCTGCCAGCTGATATTGTTCATGGACGTCGAGTGCTGTTGCATCGATGTTAGGAAGTACTTGGCGGACACTTGGTCCACTCCTAACTGAATGCAGAGAGCATCTATTTCCTTTTGGCCTGCTGCAAACTTTCATTGGTACTGTCCAAAGTGGACGTCGAGGCGGTGAGGCCAATCACAACGTCTTTCACAACCTTCACCAATCCACGAATTTCCTTATGAAGTCGGCTCTTCTTTGCCGGCGGCTCATCACCAGTTTCAGCTGCACGTTTGTCGGCTGGATCCGCAGCTTCCGCATCTGAGCTCGGCAAACTTGCCGCTTCATCACGAGGGGACGGCTTCGGCGAAGCTTTTGGAGATGCAACACCTTCCACGTGCGTGGGTGTTGCTCCAGGCACTCCATAGGGCACGGCTTCTCCAGTTCCCGGCGCCCTTGAGCTATTTGCCGTCGCATTTGCGGCATCCGGAGTTTCAGCCACCGTATCGACCTTTGGAACCTCCGTCGAGGTGTCAACGTGACTGCCCATCTTCCAAAGAGAGTGAAACAGACGGCGAAACGAAAAGCAGTTGATCTTAGATCCAGAATGCTATTGGCAACTGTGCTAGATTACAAACAGTAAAACACGGCTCCCAGCATTACCTAGACGGACAGCTTTTCGTACGGCTTCACTCTACTTACCAAAAATGAAAACCAAACCACATGTTCCAAAACAAAACAGAAAAACGAGAGTTTCACTGGTTTCACGTTTCGTGGTGTTGTTTCAAAAACGTGTCGTGGCATGACATGCAAACGAAAAACTTCCAACAACTGCAACCTGAGTGTCAGCATGTAGCGCTCCATGTGCACTTCAGAAATTACAGTTAGACAGCGAAAAGTCCGAAACGAGTTCACATCACCTCACTAGTCAACATCGTCCAACAATGCTCACCAGTCGCACATGACAAAGACTGACCAAAGAACCGAGACGGAAAAGGCCAGGACACCGTCACGGAAAACAGAAAAAACTCCAGCAAACCATCCAGACGGGACAACAGAAGTACTCAAGGTCCACATCCGCCGATTCGCAACAAAAGAACAGTACAAAGTGAAAACTGTAGGAAGGTTCAAAGACCTTCAGTTGGAGCAAACTGGATTCCAGGCGGTCACCTGCGATTCCAACGTCTATCGAATTCAAAACCTTAGCAAAATGCCATTGAGTCACAAGCGAAAACAAAAGTTCCTTAGCAAAGTGCCTCAGTGGAACAGGCTTGTGTCATGCAATTCGTTCGGAAAATTTCAGGTTTCAGGTGCTACCGACCCCTCCAACAAACTTGACATCATCTCCCCTTCTTCGGCTAGCAACTGCAGCCTACGCTGAAAGGTACGGATCCATGACAAGCCATTTGTGTCGAGTCCTGGCACCAAACCTACCTCCTGTTCGAGGTTAATCAGCATATCCCTAGTCTTAAATGACTTAGTCAAACCATCACTCGGGTTTTGAAGTCCAGGGATGTGCTCTAGCAAAAGGCGTTTCTTTTTCACCAGCATTTGAATGTACTTCGCGCGAAGTTCTATGTGCCGGACGCGTCGCAGCAACCCTTCCATCGAGCTAATGCTGATCGCGGCCGTTGCATCGTTGCGCAAAACCAACTGGTAAGTCCCTGTTGTACACTGCGGGGTTCCCAGAATGGTCAGCGGAATCCCATCCAAAATGGATTCCAGCAACATGCCTAACGATACCAACTCCTTCGAGTTTTCGGTCATCGCGCACAACTCCGCCTCTGCACTACTCAAAGCTGGACATTCCTGTTTTCTAGAAAACACCTTGATGCAGCAACCTTCGAACATCAAGACTCCCCCTGACACGGAGGCCACATTCCAAGACGCGTCGCAGAAACCAACAACGCTTCGCGGTCCTACGCTTGGCGATCCTTCCGGAGAAGGCATGGTCTGCACGCGGTGAAGGCGCGTCAACAACCAACGCAACAGTGCACGCAAACAAGCTTCTGCTGCACCTGATGGTTTCGACTGGAATCGCGCAAGGTATGAAACTGAAAAACACAAATCTGCTCTGGACAAAGCGGCCCACGCCAACTGTCCCAGAACCCTGCGATACCGTGCTTCACCCTCCGCTGTCAAAGGCGTGTCTTCACCCTGTTTCTCGCGATCTTTGTAGATCTCTTCCAGCTTTGGCGGTGTCTCATTCGGTTTCAACTTCTCGTGCCAACTGTCGATGACCCCTGTCATATAGGCTTCACTTACCCCCAGATTTAAGGTGGATTCCCCATCCCTTTCTCGATAGATGGTTCTCCCCAAAAACTGTAGGACACCTTTCTCAAGCGCTGGAATCCTTCCAGTAAGTTTTATTCGCCAAATCTTCTGCAACTGTTGCAAGAACGATTCACCCTCTTGCGGACTTTCAGCCGCGACGAGTAAGTCGTCGACGTACACCAGCACTAAAAGCATTCCATTGGGCGTCTGCAACCTGAATAAAGTATTCTCAAAGGTGTCTTGACCTCCCATGGAATATACCACCCGCTGCAATTCGAGAAACCACAACAGTGGGGCTCGCCTAAGCCCATTCATGGCTTTCCCTAGCCATGCGATCACTCGACATCCCTTGATTGTGAGGTTCGCCGGAAGTAACACTAAGTCACAAGCTTCAGCTTCCACTGGCGCATGCATGAACGCCACAGAAACATCAGCGGTCAGCAAACTGAGATCTTTCACCACGGAAACTGCAAGCACACAACGAAGCCCGTCCAACGACGACGTTGGAGCGTAGATCCCAGCATTCAAAGCTGAGGTCCCTCCCGTAGCGAAGTCTCGAACTACAAGGCGACACCGAACGATTTCTGAGGTCTTTTGGGTCAATACCCAACGTGAGGTCAAGACCGTGACTTGTTTCTCCTTAGCAAGTGCCCGGCCATCCCGTTCTACAAGGCAACGCCCGACCTTAAGTCTCTCAAGCTGCTGTACCTCAGTCTTCATTCCCTGTTTCACCTGTTCAAAGTCCAAAGCAGCTCCAGTGAGCTCGTCAAAAGAACTTTCAGGAATGTCGACTCGAACCTTTTGACCTCCAAAGTCCTCTTCAAAGAAATCACCATTTCCCTCACCAACAGGGAAAACACAACCAGACTCTCTCAAACAAAAAGTGTTCCACACATCAGCTTGTGTTTGAAGAATAAGGTTGTTCAACCACGCATCCCCTTCTTCCTCCTCAGATCCTTCCCCTTCTGAACCCTCATCGACCCTGTCGATCGTCATGGGCTCAGGACCTTCACCTACCTCACCTGCATCTACATCCATGCCATCAGCTCCATCTGCAATGGGCTGTGGAGACACCTCTTCCCTTGGGAAAACCGGTGGATCCAACTCTGGTGGAAAATCAGGTGGTGGTAAAGCCTGTTCTGCCTGTGGCGCCTCAAGACGTGGTTCTGGGAAGTCCTGTGGCCTGACGCCTGCCAAAAGAGGAAAAAGAGATTCAACATCATACTGGAGAGGTTCCTTCAGTTTGAAAGAGTGACCTTTGATCACCTCACGATACCCTTCAGCATCAACAGAAAATGGGTACCCCAAACAACCTCCACCAGTCACATACCTCATGCCGAGAAAATGGCACAACACCAAACGCTGACCAGGCCATTTTGCAGGGTGAATTGGTTTCAAAAACCCAACTGCCCCAAAAGGATAAGACCTAGGTGCCTGACCTCCCCGTTTTTCTCTCAAACGTTCTAAGGGGGTGCTCCCAGCCTTTCCCTCACAGTATGCGTTGTACGTCCTGTAGACATGTCCCACCAAATATCCCAAAAGGGGGGATTCCAACGCAATCCTGGCATTGCAATGGCGTTCAAGTGCCAACCAATTGGCATAGATCCCTTCTTTCATGATGCAAACGGCTCTCTCGATGCCTTTTGCCTGGGGTCTTGCCTCTGAAATGTTTCTCCAGTGATAGCCTCGTGCTGAACTAGCTGCAAGGCCTCTTTCAACCAAAGATTTTAGTGCTGCCTCATTGTCAGTAGCTACTTCTACAGACAACCCTCCAACACCAATCTCATTGAGAACTGCTGCAGTGGACTGCACGTCACGTTCTTTATCACCACCACAAACCACCATGCCAACCATCCCAGTGTGAACCATCAACAGGACCAGAACTTTCCAATGTTTCCCTGCTACAAAAAGGAAATCAGCAGCAAGACTGTGGGGTGTTTCATGCTTATGCCCTACTCTCCTAGCAGGTGTGCGTCCTCTTGACTGCACGCAATCATCACATCCCCTGTCATAAGGCCAATGGCCCCTGCACTCATGTTCCAGCCTGAGACGTCCATCACCCAATTCAGGGACACTGCACTCCAGATCTGATCCCTCTGGACCATCTGGTGTGTCTGGGCGTTCTGGCAAACCAGGTTTCATGGGGACCCCAACCCTCCAAATCTTCTGAATTGGCAAGTGATGGGGAACCAACTTCAGAAACCTCACCTGCCTGAGGTCCATCACTGTCATCAATTTCATCCTGTGTCAAGTCCTCAACCTGAGGAAAACCACGCATCATCCTGAAACAAGGGTCCACAAACGTCCAGTCACACCTGCATTTCCGATCAGATTGACCTGAACCTGTCCTCCCTTCATGGTATTTCCACTCCATGTATTCAGATGTGTCATGGTCTTCTTGACAAAACTCTTCAAAATCACAACATGACATGTAATCATCATCACTGTCTGTCGTTTCAGATGCACAACACGACATGAAATCATCTTCACTGTCTGTCGTTTCATCGTTTGTTTCAACGTTTGTCTTAAACAAAACGTCTGTTTCAATGGTATTGGGCTCATGTTCATCAAAAACATGCTGAAAAAGGCGACTGCTTCCAAAATGAAACATCCTACAAACATAGGAAAACGACTGCAACATGTCTGCACTCTTCATCTGAAGCTCCCGACGTTTGACCTTGACCTTGGCAGAACCTCCTGACCTACCCTTGGTGACCTGCGCAACCTCCTGAGTGGCAACATGATTCACAGGGTCCTTAGTCAAAGAGTCCTTAGTTCCCTTAGTTACCAGGTCCTTAGCCACAACATCCTCAGGGACAACTGCTGCAACTGAACTACAACCACAACAAGTGTTTCGTTTGGTTTGTTTCGTTTCAGTGCTGTCAGTGTTCACAGTGTTTCCAGTGTTCATGGTGCTCAAGTCCATCGGTGCTGGTCCAGAACCCTTCACACCACTCTTGTGCTTTGAAAGCAAACTGACTTTCAGCCACCATGCTCTCTCAGAAATCTTCAAAGGAAGTTTCAATTTCTTCAAAAACAATCCACTCTCCTCAGCATTGCCAAGGACTGTCTTCCAACCAGTTTCCAAAAGGGCGTAAGTTGAGATCACATTCAAAGGAATTCCTACCACTACTACACGCTTCATGGTAATCTTCGTCTTACCTACCTTGAATTCCAGATCTACAACCCCCTTTACAGGCAGATCATTGTCTCCTGCACCCTTCAAGCTTGGAGATGGACCAGGATACTCAAAACTCACAGTGTAGTGCTTGACCC